CTCTAATCACAATTTTAAACGAAATTTTATTTCTCATAAATGTACTGATGTATTAGCTTTCTTACGTTTTCTCCTAAAGGTCACTTAAATTCCTCTTAATTAGCTGGTGATGAAAAAGCTCGGATCCTGTTCTTGTTTTGCTACGTTTGGTTTGTCCTTTTTCAAAGACAACCTTCAGTTACAGCAACTGACAGTTTACATGACTTCTAAGAAGTTAGAAGTGAAAAAAAGATCGAGAAAGGCTGAGATTTTTCCTTCTCCTTATCTGATGCAAGAAGTTTCAAGCAGATGAACAAGCGATCAGGCATGTGTTTAAATAAATGTGCTACGCACTTTCCGAGAGAGTTTGTTCCTGCAACGATTGTACCTATATACTTCAAGAGCGAACGATGGTACTTTCGTCATTGAATCACGCGAGATGTTTGCCTACGGCTTGTAATGCGTTGAGATACTCCAAGTCCCAATTTCAAAAGTGCGACGCTTAAAGCTGTTTGTGATGACTAACCTCGATGATGAATGTATGTCAAATACAGCGATGAAAGGTGACCTTTCCGTCGGAGCATAGGCACAGCATTGATGCATTAAGGTATACAACCAAGTAGGACATGATTCAGGCTGGCGTAACATATGCTTGCCTTGCACTTGAGGCAACATCTGCCGTGAAGAAACGTATCGTTCATATGCCTACTGCGCATCATTGTGATTTCTATATCTTACATCTCAAGAAATGATTGAGAGGTTCTTTCGCCTTCTCTACAGCTCATAAATGGAAAAAAACACTTTTCTAACATTAAAACATTATTCTAAGAGCTAATTTGCATTTTAGAAGAAGGACTCATCAACGGTGCAAGCTTTGATTGTCCCATGTCAAATGCGACCAACACTTCAGTTGTCATGGAGAAAACTTTCAGTTTCAAGTGCTTGGATTTATTGACGAGGAACATGATGGGATATCAGTTGACTTCTATTTGCTGTAAGTAACACATATGAAAGCCATTCAAATCCTTAATCTCACTGAAAACCATAAACATACCTTTGCACTGTATGTGGGAAGAGGGGTTGGGCCGAATTCTGGGCTCATTTGCTCTAGCAATAAAAGGACAATAATTCAAATTAAAGAACTCGTTAAATGTATCCATAAATTTATCATCAAATTAAAACATGATTTTTGCAAAAATATGTGCAAAGCCTGAGAAAAATTCAGAGCCTCACTAAGAACCGAATCATAAAACTCATGGTAAACCCGAAGCAATAATTACCTGATATTTTTCGCATTTCTTGTAGTCTATTTTGGACATCAAACAAACTGCTGTAGTATCGCTGCCACTGCCAGCACTGGATTGATAATTCGTATCTGCCATCATCGAAATACGCTTTTTGAGGCAAAACATCACTGTTGTCTGCAACCTCAAAACCGAAAAGAAAAGTGACTTTGAGGCTAACCGTAGATTTACCAGCGCCTTACGTACAATTTTTTCACGAGAAAGCGTATGGTCAGAACACCGGTCGTTTATCTCTTGGCAGACAGCTTTTTACAGTAAAAAGCTTTGAACACAATAGTAACATCTGATCGTGTAGTCCTTTTGAGGGTAATCCCGATAAGGTGTGTTTTGGCATTAGTGACAGACGTTTCGACAACCCGAGCGGAAGTCATCGTGTGAGTCAAGTGAAGAGTTGTTGTCAGTCGAGTGTTAGAAGTCCGGTACGTATAATTCCAGAGCGGAATTAAAACACTTGACTGACAACTTGATACAAGGATAATTTTAAAAAGCTGACATTTCCCTTACTTTTAAGAGAGAAAAATTAATGAAATGACGAGTATTTACACTTGTTTGACACTTACATATACAAACAAAATAATCCTCGATGGACGGTACAGACAAGTCAACACCCATAAATCGGAAGAGGTAGAATGGTTTGTTGACCCTTGAGTCGAATTCCATTGGACAGCTAACTCCCGATTATCTGACGTTGTTACGAATTCTAGAAAAAAAATAATGATGATAATAAAAGCCAAAGTTCAGGAATTTGGAAAATGTAATACACAACTTAGAGATGAAGGCCGATCAATTGCTTCATTTTATAGTGGTAATGATTCCCCCTTAGTTAACTTAGACTGAATTATTGCACGTACGATCAGTTCCTCACCCCTTGTTGATTGTGTACAAAGAAGGTCTTCAACGCAGCCAAAGGAGGCTCCTATCATAACAGCTTGGGTTTCCTGATTAACTTGTTCTACAAATTGTCCACCTTCAGCTGCGAACGTTCGACTATGTAAACTGCTGTCTTTCATATGCTTAAACAGGAGGCACAACCTTTCATACTCCGAGGTTAGGTGACATAGGATACTTTCCTGTTCTGAGCCCAGGAAAAAAGAAGTATCACATCGATTGAGACTTATCAGGTGTTTCAAGCCGTACGCCTCTCGAATGAAGCTATCTTCTGAGGTCGGTAACACAACTTTCTTGGACGCTGTAGAATTTACTTGTTCTCGGTTTAAATGTCCAGTTTCACAAATACACATCAGACTTTGGCTCAAAGCTGCCTTCTTGATCCCAAATTCCTGATCTTCATGTGCCAATTCAATTTCGCTGAGCTGATCTGCTAGGTAATTCATTTCTATTCCCGAAAAAAGAAGTACAATGCACTGCGTTAACTTTAGCCACGACTACGACTGTTGACAATCAAAAACTTATGTTCTGTGAGGGGGTTTTGGTATACATAACGATATAATTTTTCCAAGAAAGTGGACAGACGGAGAAAATCTGCGGTAGAACAAAAGAAAAATTTAGTTTATGACAAAAACATCATGACAGGGTACCTTTAGAAGTCGCCCAAAGAATGTTATCTTCAGACTCGGAGCTTCCGCTCTCGCAAGATTCGTTGGACGAGGTGTCGATGTCTCCTAAATAACCAGTGTCCTTTACAACAGTACTTTCAAGATGACTGCTCTCTTCTTCCGTGCTGAGGCCTGTTTCGTAAAAGTACGGTCCACGGTTACTTTGGCATATACATTATTTCACAACTTGCTAGCTGTATACATATCCAAAAACATAATCTAACTCAGCAGTACTAACGTTGTTCACTCACCGGGCTGCTTTTGTGCTTCCTCTGCAGCTCTCACAAGCTCAGACCAGTCGATTGTCTGGGGGTAGCTCTGGCCTTCACCGGCCTCTTTAGAAAATCTAAGCAGCAAAAATGTGTTTTAATTCATGGCAACTAGAGAAGCACACTATAATAAAAAAGGAAAAACTGATAAATTTAAGTACTGCCTCAAGGTAGCCGCCATGTAGGATCATTTTATCTACGCACTTCTTAAAGCATGTCAACCTGAGTGACAAAAACCTCAATGCAACATTCTAACGGCTGATGTCAACCCCTGGTTCGCTGTTAGAAGTAAAAGTGGATCTCTTAACGTATATGACCGTATATTACCATGCTGAATAACCTCAATCTTTTTGCAACTCAATCGTATTTAAATCACTTCATTCCAAAGTCAAGTTAAAATGAATACCTGACAGTTATCTCCTCAAGAAAAGTAGCTGTCATCTCATGCCCATACTCTCTGGCAATAGCTTCGGGAAGAGCTGAGCTGTCTTTGTAACGATTATAAATTACTCTTCCGGCGGACGAGTTGAAGATCATTTCTATAAATTGTTGGCCACCAATTTCTGCTGCAGCATAAACTAAGACGCACAACATCTGCACAGGTTCTGTGGAACCTAAATAAAAGAGGATGTTTACAATCATGGGCAGCCAGAAACTAATCTAAGAGAACCGCCTGGCAAGAACAGCTAAGTGCTAAATTTCATACACTAGTGCCAACACTTCTAATAAAATCAAAGTCCAATGCGAAACCAAAACAATATTTGAAAACTGTTTTCACAAAGATAAAAATCTTGTTAAAGATAAATATTCAGTATGACAATGCCATACACATGGGAGGATGTTGATCGCTTTATCGTTTCATATTTTCAAAATTGAAGGGCATACATGATTAGGATGTTTATTTGGACCCATTTCATTGACCAGCTCCCAGTTGGCTTGTTAGCTCAATTGGTAGAGCGCTGCACCGGTATCGCAGAGGTCATGGGTTCAAATCCCGTACGGGCCTAAAATTTTTTTCAGGTCCTATTTACAACTACTCGTTTCAGTAGTGTTCTTAGCTGCGAGGATCTCCTAATTTCATCTTTCCACCGCAGTGCAAGTATGTGAATTTTCATATATCTAAAATCTTGATTATGATCCATCAAATATTTTTGCTTGCGCGTGATTGGTCTAAACGCATCACCTGACCGAATATCCCTCAGCTAAACTTTAAACCTTACGTCCACTACGATTAGTCATTGTTTCAGATTTGTTCAAGGAGAGGGCTATGTAGTTGTTACGGAAGAAAATTCTCTTTTTTGTTCATTAAGTCGTAACAGAAAACACTCAAAAGAAAACATCCCACGCTGCATCCAGTAAGCTGTTTGTATCCATTTTTTCACACGCGTTTCAAAATATATGAAGGGTAATAAACACAGCATCCTCTGTTTGCGCACAAATATGTACGGCTATTTGTCCTTGGACATCCTTGAGCTTCGCTCGCGGAAAATTTTCGCATCTTGGAACAGATTATGTCCGCGGACAAATATCTGTGCATATTTTCTCGCCATAAAGAGGCTATCGTTTATTCTGAACCCGAATATTCATATCTCGGACAATATATCTCAGCCGCGGAAATTATCAGCCGAAAAACCAGCCGGCTGAAGGGCTTTATTTTCCATATGATGTGATTCAAGATTCAAGATTCAAGCCCTGCAGAATTCTTAACTTTTTTTAAAAAAAAATTCAACCATTTAGGATTTCTGCCTTGATTTGGGTCAATTGGTTTTCATGAAAATTAGATGCAATCAATGATGCGCCACTCACCACAAATTTCAGAGTTTTGTGCTTCCGCGTCACTGGCTGTTATAGTGTTACGATTACTCAACATCTCAGAAAAATTTCGAAAGAACTCCGCTTGTAACTTCGGGTTTTCAGTTATCCGTTGAAGAGCCTCTTTATCTTCATCGTAGTACCAAATTTTCGTTTCACCTAGCTTTGTACCATCTGCTCGTTGTAAAAATATTGTGACCCATCCTGGCGTCTTGGAAGCTATAATGATAGAACAAGCAAAATCAATGACTATTATGATCAAAATTGCGGATGACGCATACCTCTCGTAGAGCCAAAAAGAGTATACAGAGTATATCCCAAATATAGAAGAGGGTTTGGAGTTCCATATTTTGTGTTCTTGGAAAAACTCTTTTTGCATTAGTTCTGCAATGGTGAGATCAGTAGAAGAGTCGTAGAACTCTGCGTTTTCTCGTTCAGTGATGATGGATTTGATTGGCAGGTTGAAAATTTTGGGGAAAACAAAATAGTAACAGATTATTGTGATAAGATACTTGAAGGAGCCAACCTAAAGCAAATAATTGTTTTAAATGTGTGGCATTTTTTAACTTTCTAAAGAGGAGTTTATTGGGTGTTCCCTATTGAGCCTTAGAAATTAATCGAACAACACACTTTTGAAGTAAAAAAATTATTCGTATATTTGCGACGTAGGTTGAGACCCAGATTAAGACTACAGTATGTGATACATTGCTAAAGTTAATACGTAATATAGCGAGCGGAGAGAATTTTAAGGCTAATAATAGCTAGCTACATATAGCAACCCAGTAGAAATGGCAATTATCTTTTACAAATAAGATATTTGTGTGTTCTCTAATTTGATTGTTGATATATAAAAACTGCTATAAATTTTGTCATATCTGTTAGCTCTACAACATGATCATCTACATTTAGTGAGTTTAATTGAGGTAGACGTTTTTGCTTGGGCCCAAAGATTATGGCTCGCCGCCAGGCAGCCACATTCAGAAGTTCAGAATTTAATTTGCTCATAGGAATATTTGGTCCCATGCTCACCCGGACGATCAGACTGCACGATCCAACAAAATATCACACCCCCCCCCCCCCCCAACGATTTCCAACCATCTACTGTATAAGGAGTAAGAATCAACATACGTGGAATTTTCTCTCCAATAAGGGAGTCTTCGCCAAACCTCTTAACTTCAACAGTGTCTAGATTCTCGAAGATAGCAAATGCAGACTGCACATTCCTCGGAAACGTTCGACTAGATGAGAAACGACACAATGCACCACCCTGGAAAACAGAAATCGGTGGCATTACGAACACTAAAACAATCAGGATGATCACCATACCATGTACAGCTAGACATGTTAATCCATTCAGATACAGCCAGAATTTCATCAACAGTTTAATAACTATTCAGTAATTTAAACTAATTGTTTCTTTTTTCATTTCTGTTTATAGGATTTCGCAATAGAATATACTCATCATGGATGATTTCCATACAAAAATTCCAACACAATTATAGCATTATAACATGCATATGAAAGAAAGCCACCTGAATAAGCATTTCAATCACATACGGTGTGCATTGATACAATAAAAACAACCTCACAACGATAATTGTTGTAAACCCTTACCTGCAAGGGAACTTTTTTCGGCGTGACACTGAAGTCAAAGTGCTCATCTTCATGTAACGACAGATCATCTGCAGAACATCAAGGAGACTTTAAAAAGAATCGCGGACGTAAAATTTCTGTAAATTCCCACCAGCTCGTTTGTTGCCCTCTCTAAAATTACGGCGCATCACTGATCGTTACAGATTAAAACATTTTTAGATAATTTTAAATTAACCTCACGCTGCGCGCTCGGCCAATTTGAAATCATTCACCCATTACTTTCTGAATTGTACTCCACTTAGTCCTCTTAACGAATACTTATAGATGTAAATGTGTGAGGATTTACGAGGATACTTCGAGCAACTTTCCACACAAAGCTGCAAGCATAATTTATAGCCTCTTACCTAAGGAATTGTGACCAAGTTCAGAAATACCACTAGTGGTATTGACATAATCGGCTGAGCTGTCAGACATCTATCAAAAGAAACAGTGTAAGGTCATGCAATGATAGGCGTGAAAACACTGATCAACAGTTAAAACACCCATCTTGCTCTACTTAGAAGATAAAAGAGCACTTTCAATTTAAACGCTACCGCCTTTTGATTCTTTACATCTAACACTATATATAAAAAAAACCATTAAGCTTTGCTTCTCCACTTAAATGCTCCCTTTAATGCTCCTTTTTTCCCCATAAGTCTCCCCTAAATAAGTCTCTACAATGCTCGGATATTGCTCATCATACAGATATTTTTATTTTATTTATTCCCACATTTTAACAACGTTTTTAAATGTAAAATAAAGGTTATTTGGTATTGAATGGTATGACAAAGTGACCGCCTTTTTTTAGTCTTACGTTTTGAAACCTCTCCTTAGTCTCTGCTCATCTGCATTACAGCGGCAACTGTGACGTTTGAAATTTGTTCGAATTTCGAGTTCTCTAAAATTCCAGTAAAATGTACAAATAATGCTCAGTGCTTTAACCTTACTAAAATACCCGAAAAATACTAGTATAATGTACTAAAGCCTCAACTTCATCAGAGTTTCCTCTAAATTTTACTTTATCTTTATTTTCTTCTTAATCTGCGGGATTCAGTTGACGGGAATACATAAATGTTTCTATTATGGGACAAGCAGGTAATTTAGTGTTAACAACTGAGTTGAAAACGTAAATTGGCCACTGTAAAGAGTAAAAAAGCTGAAACGCTCGAAACGTCTTGACCACCGTAAAGAGTAAGAAAGCTGACGTTTCGAGCGTTTCAGCTTTTTTACTCTTTACGGTGGCCAATTTACGTTTTTCAACTCAGTTGTTAACACTAAATTACCTGCCATACTCTCCCACCGACGCAGCACCACAGTTTCTTTAGAAACTTACCCCCCTTATTAGAATTCATACCAAAGATCGAGACTCTTCATACACCATCAGTTTAGTAGATAAATTTATCGCATTCATTTCTTCATTCATTAAGTGAAATATTACCTCAGTGGAATTCAACGAGGATCCTTGATAAGGGAGTTGACAATCCCTGATTTCTGAAGTTCCTGCAGTAGAAATACCAATGATAGTCTAATTTGTTTTACTCATATACTTATATTTTGTTTGTTCGTCATTTTCACGATAAATGAAACTCTGAAGAATGTAAATAAAAAAATTTGTTGACGATTAACCATTTTCTATATAGAAGGGTAGTGTTAAGCGCTTTTCAGCGCCTATTTACTTTTATAAAAGTGAAGAGGCACTTTTGAAAGGTGGCTACTTTGGGTATTCTTCCTTCAGCGTCCGAGTTACGAAAGGAAACCTAGTTAATTATTCTTAAAGTTTTCTCTCAAGATATTTTACCCGTTCGGCTGACGATATGATAAGGCCTCTGTTTTGGGTGTTAATTTTTAGATCAATGACGTTACTATGGCAACATCATCTCTAATGACTAGCAGCTTTATCCCAATATATTCCCGTTAAGACCTTTTTTTTCTCTCGGTGAAATGTCTTTGCTTTTTGCCACATTAAGGAAACGATATTGCTTGATCTTTTGAAATTTTAAAAACTTAAATTCGTTCAGACAGTTTTGCCAATATTCTTTGATTTGTCATTTTTCTAAATATATTCTGTCAGCTCTGACAGACTTTAACAAATACGGGCTACTTGATAGCAACTGAAAGAACTGTAACTGGTTAGGACTATGCCAATTTTAAAAAAATGCCAAGGGAAACGCGATAAATCTCACTCGAAAGATACCTATTTCCTTTGTCACAATAAAATAGCACGCCAAGATCTATATCTTAGCGTAAACTTTCGAATCTATCGCCTTTTGGCAATTTTTCCCAAGGTCTTTTCTGTTCGGTGTACGTCTTTGTCAGGCGTAGAAGGCCTATGAATATTTCGGGTGCAGTTGCTGGAAAACCCTAGATGCCATCACATAAAAACTGTATCTTATTACTCTTTTTCAACACATCTTTTCAGATAACAATCGTGCGATCGTATCGAGCCGCCATGTTTGTTTTGCATGTTGACACTTTTAAAGCTCGCGCTATGTTCGCACCCAGATCTCGCGCGCTCAAAAAACCCTATGGAAAATGTGTTAATCAACAAATTTAACATTTCTAAAAGCAAAACGACTTTAACAGTTCTCGATTTCTTTTGGCTTGATTTTCGGCGTACCACATGTGACATATGTCCTCACTGCTCCACACATTTCCAGTCAAGCAACTTTTCAAAGAAAAGTATAACACGCTCTCCTACAACATTCTACTGTTATCGCATTTACAGAAGTTTATCAAATAAACTGCGGTGTCATACAAGGATATCCAGCCCCGAGAAAAGCCGTAACGAAATACGTGAAAAAATGTTATATTTTTCCACGTGTGTTTGAAATCGCTAATCCGCTGTTGACACGTCACTCGCCTTTCGCGCCACTCGGTCAGGTTGATGAGTAAACGGCGAAGCCTTTACCATTCTCAATCCAAGGTAGTTTGTCGGAAATTTCTCCCATAATGGCTGCTAAAACACTGAAAAATCCGTATTAGACGGTGACGCTCGAACTTTCCTAGTAGAGAAAGAAAACCAATATGCGAAGAGAGAAACCGAAAGTTACGTATTCAGTGGCTTTGGTCATGGCATTTCTCGCGGCTGAGAACGAGAGACGATAACTGAAAGATTTCCCATAGGCCAATTTGGCCGTTTATCTGAAAGATTTCTTCTGTCAGTGAGGACAAAGTCAATGAATGAGAACTTAGTAAATTAAAAATTGCGCTCCTAATTGCTTTAGTAATCATGATTCAACGCATTTTTCCATCTTGAACCTTAGCGCCAACCCACTATACGGTTTTTCTTTTCGAGAATTGTCGATTATTTTATTTTCATTCGTGAACAAAGTCCTCTTTTCTTGTCAGTAAAGGGCTATTCTGTTTTTATGATAAACATAATAATACATGGTTGCTTGTAGACATGGAATTTATCTCAGAGTTGAACACGAGAAGTTCTCGTGTTTAACTCTACACGTCACTCGTTCGCTGCGCTCACTCGTGAGCTATCGAGTTGAACACTCGAAGAGAAATTATATATCAAGGCGCACCCATGTATTATTCTCCATTTCTCGCACATGCAGCTCCGTCTCGCCATTCTGTTATCTTCCAGAAAGAGCAACTGAAGCTGCACCTTTCTCAGAAAGGCACTTGGCGAGCAAGAGTCTTATTATCTTTTCAAATTTAAGTCAACTAAATTAGTTGACATACCTGTTTGGTCATTATTGTCTGTCATCACATAGTCCTCACAACCTGGTATCTGCAAAGATCAGAAACAAAGCAAGCTAGCGCAACAGGCGGTAACAGATAAAAGCTAAGAAATTGAAATATGATTGGTTCAGTCCAAAATAACTGCAGTCAGACATTCACTTTTACTCATAAATTTCTATTTGTTCGTCTTTGGGTTTTCATTTTAAAACCTGACTTAGAACCTGCATTATTTTTGCTCATGCAAGCACAGAAACACTAATCGTACTATTTTTTCATTACTATTATTTTTAAATGGGAGAACATTTTTACTACCTCATACTATATAATCAAGTTTTAATGTAACCACATGATGTATTTGTAGCTTATGGACTAGTTTTGCACTTTTGGAAAGAAATGCACTGCAACGGGGCGAAAAAGCTCAGTAAAACAACGGAGCCATTAGGAGCTCAAACTCATCATAATTTCCGGTTACAAGGAGATCGCCCACGTATCAATAGTCCTCTTACGCAAACGTCAAGGATGAGGCAGTACATGATTCCAAAAATTAGTTTATTCACACAGTGAAGTAAAATCGAAGCAAAAGAAGTAACCGAAGTAATCACAAGTAAATCGCAAGGAAATCGCGAATAAATCGAAAGCAGAAAGCTATACAACATACTTCCTTTTAACATAGAGGGCACGTGCTTTTGCTGCTACAAAAATTTCCCATTTCCAAGTTCTCACGACTCAGAGATCTAGTGCCGAAATAAAGGCGCGAGAACGAGGTTAAGTGCGAAGTCGCTCTCGTCGTAATGATGAAGTGAAAATGAATGGGGATTTCTCCAAATTCAATGTGGGAGAGTTAAACATCATTTGCAGGAGAGAGGCATTCAGGTTATTGATGGTGATAGAAAAAAGACATTAGGAGGACTGTTCGATTTATGCAAGAAGTGGCAGCAAAGAAGCGGTTAAAACTAACCGGTTTTGCCAGATAAAACGATGCAAAAAGCTGTTGGAGGAGAAATTACAAACAAGTGAGGATACCCTTTGTAATTCAATTTTCCTTCAGCTAATGAACTCCCGTACAGTTTCTTTATTCGTCTTATTCATTATATCCATCTGTTCATTCATGAATTCGACTTTTATTTTTCTTGTGTGCCTTATAATGGCAGTGTGTTGTTATCTGGCCCGACTGGAAATTTATGTTTTTGTTGTTTTAGTTGAATAATATTACTGTCGCAATTTTTTTCAAATGAGGTCAGCGAAAAAAATGAATTTCATTAATATATCATAGAAATCTTTACCTCTGCGGGAACCTTTTTTGGACCAACAGTAAAGTCAAACTTCACATCGTCAGGAATGTCGTCGTATGGAAGCAGATCCTCTACATAGAATTGATTAAGACGATAAAAGAAAACTATATGTGACGCTTGAATAATTCACCTTGACTTTTGATCGGAGTAAGGCACCTTAACAACATACATCGCATAAGCATACATGCAAAATCTAGTTGAGACGCTGTTAACATATGCGCGGGCATCACATTTATTTTCTGTTCGTATCATACAGTATTGAAAGAAAAATGTTGATTGAGTTGATAGCTTTAGAAAATTATCGATTGTATTTCCAGCGATTTTAAAAACAGCGAAGCAACAAATTGTGAGTGAGATAATCAAAGTGGCATTATAGTGAACTCGTGGATATACTGTACTGTATAAAATTAGATTTTACAATGATTGTATGAAAATCCAATGATCCTGTGATTCCAATAAACAATTGAGACGCCATTCTCAGATGCATGTTCCCCCAAGACTCCTAAGTCCGTGCTAACGGTATGAAATTTGCAAGTAGAATGTCTACTTAACGAGTCAACATGAAATATAGTACAACCTTTCATTTGTATATGTCTTTTAGGTAAAAGCCGGCTCGCAAGCACATTGTGTATTTCTTACCTAAGGGAAGGCTAATATCGAATACAGAATTTCCATTGGTGGTGAGGATATCTGAAGAGAAGCCATCACTGTAATAGACCTATTGAAATAAACACTGTGATTAACATCGGATAAACTGGAATGTGCGACCATCGACATCAATGCAGTAATATCTTTTTTATGATTAACATGCTGAATGTCTGTAGAACCTTGGCAAAAAAACTTTCATTGGGCACTTTTCATATCAATTATCTCTGGATAGATTTCCATATCCACGGCTCACAATGTACAATAAACTACGTTAAATTTACCTCCGAAGTTTCCGAAGTGAGTATGGCTCTTGGCCTAGATGGCAATGTGGTATTCTGAAACAGTATGCCTTCGATAGTATCTGGAAAGAGCATTACAAATAATAATTAATACTATCATCACTGTCATTATGATTGCCTTTATTTACAAACCCCTCTTCCTCATGGCCGATAATTTACTCTTTAGCAAAACTGGATAAGAATCGGCCATCTCTTGTTTTGTGAAACACATTTAAAATGTACATCGGGATCCTATTTACAACGCACTAATCTATGCTCAAAAAGATGCAGGGGACTGGCGGCCATAGAGGAAAACGAGCAAGCTTACAGGAACTGTGAGAGAAGACCAACCTCAGGCCCCAATTTAAAAAAGTAAACCCACAAAAAGCTAAGAAATTCAGAACAAAAAGAAGGTATGGTAAACCGACAAGGAAGAATATTATTGTAGTACAAAACAGGAGCTGTTAGTATAACGCTTGTCAACTCGAATAGGTTATATACACAAAGTATTCTTTGATTGGAAAACCACAGACCGCAACTTTTCGATCCTGTGAGGCAAAGGTACAATAAAGGTAACAAATCAGGGAAATGCGGAAAATCCAGAGATTTAGTGAAAACCTGTTGGTTAATGAATAGATGGATCGGTTTACCGTGTTTATAAAATTGTTGTCGCCTCATTCATAATTAATGATGATTCCCTTGGAAGGGTAAAATCGTGCAATTCGTCTCACGCAACTGTGTGCATGATAGTATTCACGAAAAAACACTTGTAAACTTCCAAATGAATTTTCACGATCTAAACTCGATGAAACAAGGATAAGTCGTCACGTCGGGCGACTGATCGTCCACAAAGCCTAGGAAATTAAAGGTGGTCTAGATTTCGGAAATCCGAAGGGGAGTTTAGAGAACCCTCTTGACACTGCATTAGAAAAGATAACCTAGGAATCGACCCAGGGGAAAATGAAAACTTCCTGACTGATCGAAAACGACACGATCAGAGGCATGGTGTTTTTTTTGGTTCTCATTCCATGAAGTCAGGTATACAAAGAAGCCGTGAAAATTTAGTAACATACTTCACCCCCTTATGTATGACATACAATTAAGGAAAACAACAACAACCACAAGAAATGACGTATGCCCTAGAGCCACTCGATATAGTGACAAGACTAAAAGACTGTTAGAAATTAGCGTCAGCTCCTACGACTATGAATCAAACACTTGACTAAGTCAGGAATCAAAACATACCGCGGAGCAAACTCTGTTCCGGAGCGGCAAATCATAATGGCAAGTTGAAGGATTTATAAATCTAGCGAAAATGAGCCCCTGATGTTGGTATTATCGCTGGACGAGTCAGGAAGAAAAAATGTCTCTACAAATATCTCTACGAAACAAATTATGCTCTGGAATCGCAGAATCAAAAACGACAGCACAATAAAACGAACTGAACAAAAGTAAAAGCAGGTACAGAGAATAACAAAAATAAAAAGGAGTTTTTAGTTTTTCTTTGGGTAGATCTGGAGCCAGGGCGTCAACAATTGGTAAACTTACTTAGACTAACTAATTGTCAGAATTGGCATGACATGCACCAACATAAACTATAGGCTCGATTTGACAATGAACCAAATTTGGAAATTGATTTCATAGCGCAATGACCAACACCTGTCGATGTGATTGTCTATACTCGCTGTCAAATTCAGCTACATGTTGTGTTTGGCAAAAAAAATAGCCCTATTTTTCCCCTTTTCCAAGACTGTCTGTTATTGCCCATACGTTTTCCAGATCTGGTAAATAAGATCATTCTTTTTCATAAATTCAAGACTCTGAACAAACAGATTAATAGTTAACAAAAATAGATCGCATTCATTGATCCTCCAGCAATTTTGCCCCAATTGTGCCTGGTTGGAGAAATACACTGTGAGAGTTACATTTCTCTCTTAAAAAACACAACACAATGACTTGGCGTTGGCTCCTGCCCTCATCTCTTCGCCCAGAGTACAACAGCTAAGTTACCGCTTCAGGCCTCGAAAGGGGTGTCCCCCTTTTACTACTACTTATTCACTCTACCTGGTCGAGGGGAGTCCGGACGTGAAGCCCCATGGGAAGGATGTGGGTCCGCAAGCCAAAGGTTAAGATCCTCTGTCGCTGTTTTGTTTGAACAGAATTGTTGGGATGTTTCCATAGCCTCTACCAAACACAACTCATGTGATCGCTGAGAAGCTACAGCCAAGTCATTCGAAGTGTTCATCTGAGGTGTGGATGTGGAAGAAAACGTCTACAGCCCGAATGATAATATTGATTTGTATATTGATTTGTGATCGGAATATCATACAAATCAAAGTAACTTATAAAAAGCATTTTTAACGCAGTGAAACGAGTCTACACCTTTTGATTTTGTGGCAGTCTGGTGACACCCTGCAATGCTCTATTTTCAGCTCCTGAAGTTTCTGCTCTTGAAAATTCTAGAAATGATAAATTCATGGTTTTTTTGAAATACGCAACGCACACTTTTCAACCCCAAATTTACCATAACATAATCTCTTAGGTGGGGAGGGATTTTCCATGAAGGGCCGCTTTCATAAAACAAACCTGGGGAAGAAATACAAAATGCGTTCCCTCAATTTAAAAGAAAGGAGCGGATGTAGTTTCCAAACCTTTTAGTGCCAGCCATGATCCCGAAGTTCGATGACTAGTGCAGCTTCTTGGGTGACTTCCACAAGAGGTAGGTTGCTCTTCTTGTCCACTTATCGCACGAGCTCCTATTTCCAAAGAACTCAGTTCATTTGTTACTTTTTGAGACTGATCAAGTGATGTGAGCTTATCGTGACGGTGTTTTGATTTTGGCTGATCTAGGTATGCAGAGGAATCGTTCATCTGTGTTACCTTATCAAAATCAAAGATTTAAAAAGAGATTTTACTCTTGGTTATTATCAATAGGCAAGAGAATATAATCAGTTTATGATCTCTTGCCATAGACTATGCCGGGCCCTCGGTCAATAGAAAAAGTCTTAGGATCGAGGCAGGCGAAAAAAGGGAAGAGAGAAGCCGTTTAAAATCTGCAATAACTCCTTTAGCCTTGTCATGTAAAGCGCTTCATCCACAAAAACAAGTAGTGTTTTCCAGAACTCAGCCAACGGGAAAAGCATTGACGAAATCGAATTAAGGCTTAATATAGACTTAGATAATATTAGATTATGGCTACTGGCAAATAAGCTCAGCCTTAAAGTTGCGAAGACAGAATATATGCTCATCGGTTCACGTCAAAGATTGGCTAAGCTTCCCTTAGAACCAAATGTATGCATTGGAATAGATCCGATCAAAAGAGTCAAATATACCAAAATACTTGTTGTTTACACCGATGAATCTCTTACATGGAGCGAGCATGTTGAAGAAATAGCTTAAATGATTACAGCAGGAATTAGTGCTTTAAAACGGCTTAGAGATTTTACAAGTCGAGATGTACTTGTTTCAGTTTATAATGCAATAATCATGCCTCATTTTGATTATGGTGCTTTATAACGGCTCAGAGATTTTACAAGTCGAGGTGTAATTGTTTCAGTTTATAATGCACTAATTATGCGTTATTTTGTTGTGCGGTTTGGGATTAATTAGGAAGTGTATCGGCTGCAAAAACTCTATAGCAGATGCGCTAGGGTAATTATGCGTTACAAAAACGAGGCTGGACAGTCTGAAGAGGCCCTATGTCACCTTGGCTGGAATTTACTAAGCGAACGTAGAATTCATATCAACGCTAGACAAATGTTTAAGGTTCTCCATGACTTGGCACCTGCAACGGACTCGTGCTCGGCCAACGATTATCATTTAAGGAACGCTGATAATAAGTTGGTCAGCTATAATGGTGCAAAGTCTGGAATTCCTTACCGAATGAAATTCGTAGTTGTGAAACTTGAGTAACGTTTGATGTGCTTATTCATAGTTCAACCTAGAGACCAAATGTGATATCTTAATCAATTTCCTAAGGTTATATTTAATGCATTAATAGTTTGAGTCATGGATATCAGTGTATTCATATATATATATATATATTTTTTTTTTCTTATGTATGTTTTCAGTAGTATTTAAATTTTATACTTAGTTCACGCCCCTACTGGAAACCAGTTTTTTTATAAAGTTGATGATAGGCTAGTGTATTCAAATAAAGTTGATCTACCTATCTGTCTTTGTGCCCTAGGAACTGGTAGACTTGTGGAATACAGTGTTTAAAATAGTTTTTACTCCTTTTTGTTGTCGTTTGTCATCAGTGTCACTCGCTTGTTATTTTGGACGAGTCCACTAGCTGGGAGCCTGGAGCAGGCGTTTAAATCACTAAGATGTCGGTCTCTTAACAAGTACATTGAATCGTCCTGAAAATTCTATATTAAAATTTTTTTTTACAATTCTTGTGAAAGTTTTTTTTTCTTTATCTGGACAGAAAATGATGCCTGATATTACCTCATCCTCCAAAATGTATAAAGCTGAGTTGCCCTGTGTGTTCCTCTTTATGGTCTTTCCATCCCAAATTCGAGATGTTGATATGCATCCGGCTGGGCGTGAGGTAAAAACTTTACAAGCATAACTAAAGAGGCAATTTATAGGAAAACATTCAAAGGCGACTGTCTTCATGTGGAAAAAATATTTAGATGATTGCAGATAATCATGTATAACCGGCTAATGAAAATAGAAATCAGCGGTTTCATTTCACATGTTTCCATTGAGTAGAGCTCTTTAGATTGCATTTATGTTTTTGTTTACTTAAGGGAATTCTCAGCTTTATCTGTGTAAATTTAACGTCC